TTCCCCTTACCTTGGTAATGTACTTATGTTGCAGGTTCGTGATGGGCGTACTCCTGATCGATCATAACGGAGTTGGAGACATTGATCATGGCAATGTTCTCGAAGAGAATCCCTGAGCCACTCCTCGCCGACGACCCTTGCGATGCCTTCCCCCACTTGCTCTAGCATCACTTTCAGAAGCTTCAACGAAGATATCTATTCAAGACACAAAAAAAACTATTAGTAATTACGGGTTAATTAATTAAGGCGCCTGATGTGAAGTTAAAAATCACGGACCGGCAGAGGAATCGCTCGTGGGAGCTGAGCCCGGATCCTTCCACCAGCCCAGCTTCTTCCAGGCTCAAGAAGCTCAGCCGCAGCTTCTCCTTCGTTCCTCCTCCGCCGCATTTTGTCACTGTCAGCCACCTTCGTCTGGATGTTTAGAGATCACAACTACCCGAAACTGACAAAAATGGCAGATGGCGGCGGAGATAACTGACAAAGAAGGTGTTGTTGTGGTTTCTTCCACCAATTGAACGGGTATTTACGGGTAATATGGGTACCCGTTATCCGTCCCGTACGGGTAACGGGTACCCGTTACCCATACGGGTTTGGGATATGGGATATGGGATGAAAATTCCTCTCTAAATGGGATTGGGTACCCGTTTTAAACGGGACGGGTATCCCGTCCCGTCCCGTTGCCCACCCCTAATAAATTATGCTGAAAATAATAAAATAAATTAAAATTCAAACCCACCCTAATCCCACATCAGACCTCATCTTCCTTCACCAGTCCACCCCATCGAGACATGTCTTCCACGCCGCCCCGCTTTTTCCCGACTGTCCCTGCTTCTTCCCCGCCGGCAATTCGTCCGTCCCTCCTCGCCCTAGCCGCGGCTCTCGTCGCCGTCCTATCTCTCATCGTCACCCCCTGTTTCCCGCTGGCGCCGGCGACGAACTCGAAGATCGGGTTGTAGACTTTGTAGATCTTCCTCGCCCTGGCCGCGGCTCTCGTCTCCGTCCTATCTCTCATCGCCACCCCCTGTTTCCCGCTGGCGCCGGCGACGAACTCGAAGATCGGGTTGTAGACTTTGTAGATCTTCATCGCGTCCCCTTCCAGCCCGTTCAGCTTCACGGTTTTCTTCGCGTCGTCGAATTCCACTCGCTCCTTGAACACCTCGATCTTCCCCTCTGTTACAAAATGTTGTAGAGACAGAAATGTTACAACAAGTATGGATGGATTACGGGTTAACAGTACGTTGATCGCAATAATTCGAGTTGTTGCGAGAGATTCACTAATTCAATTTTGTCACATATATATATTGTTGCTGCACCTCTCAGATGAAAGCTAGCTACTCATAAGAGTTAGGAATGATAATTGGGAGACTCTACTGCACCTCTCTTCAATTTATTTCCTTCACTCAGTTTGTTTGAGCACTTTCTCTCTAAGATATTGTCTTCTCTGTATACCGTATACTCCATTGTTTACCTCGTGTTTATGGGGTTCTGGATATCGGATGGGTCCAAGTTTTGACCTAATTATTGTGGAGCTCAGTATATCAATCGCATTTTTTTTTATGTATTTTAGTTTATTATTGTGTTTATGATATGCATTTAGGAGTTATCGGTATGCAGATCACTAGTCTTTAATAAACACGCCAGAAACCTCCTAATGCAGACCACAAACGTGATAAAAAAAACCACAAAAAAGCAAACCAGAAACCCCCTAATGCATACCACAAATTCTCTAAAACAAACCAGAAACACCACAAACCAAACCATAAATATTTTGAAAGCACACCAGAAACCTCATAATGCAAACCACAAACACGTTAAAGCAAACCAAAAAAACAAACCAGAAACGTCCTAATGCATACCAAAAATCTACTAAAACAAACCAGAAACCCTGCAAAGCAAACCACAGAATTTTAAAAAACACACCAGAAACCTCATAATGCAAACCACTAACACGATAAAGCAAACCACAAAAACAAACCAGAAACCTCCTAATGCATACCACAAATCTCCTAAAACAAACCACAAACCCCGCAAAGCAAACCACAAATTTTTTGAAAGCAAACCGGAAACTTCTCAATGCAAACCACAAACATGATAAAGCAAACCAGAAGCTTCTTAATGCAAACCACAAAAGGCAAACAAAAATACGAGAAACCAAACCATAAATCTCACAATGCAGACCATAACATCCGGTGGTCGTTGACCGTTGACCGGTCAATGAAGTTTGTTGACCGGTCAACAAAAATCGTTGACCGAACTCCGATGACCCTCAGTGAGCAGATTCCGACGCCCATAGGCATATTTTGGCCCCGATGACTAGATTCCGACGCCGGTAAGTATATTCCGACGCTGGTGAGCATATTCCGACGACAAAATAGCATATTCCGGTGACCGGCAACCAGATTCCGACGACCGGTGGCCGAATTCCGGCGGCCAAAATTTTGGGCCGAAAATAATAAAAAATTATTATTATTTAAACATATTTTTCATAATGACAATTATACCCCTGCTTTGATTTTACACTAGCTCAACTCATCTAATAAAAAGTCATCACAACCTTAGCTTCCTATTGGTTGGAGACTAGTGTTGTTACAATAACAACACAAGGGGTGTTGTTATAGTATCTAGTCTCGTGGTCTAGCACTTTGATATAGTATTAAGATGATATAAGTTCTGCATCTATTGGGCATTCGGTTTGATTAAGCTGAATCAAATTGACAATTTTATTCATAAAATTGGACACATTCCTCTTAATTTGAAAGTCGATTGCATGATCTCAATATTTAATTCTAAATGAACCAAATTGAACCATCGAACATCCGAATCAAACACTCGAACCATACGCCCACAAACCACACCACAATCATCATTCGCATTCCATTCTACACTCTTTCAAAGCCCAACCCACCCTCCCAGACCCAGTTTAACCCACAAAGCCCACTCTCTCCTTCACTAGGCCGAGCTGCACCCACGTGGGCGCTTTTCAAAATTTTAGGTGCACCACCCACAAATATGCATGATGACAGGATTCTTCCCACAAGTTGCACAATATCATATAGTATGTGGATACACTGATTAACTGATAAGCCCCAAACCACGAGGCTGAATTATCCACGCTCGTCAAGAGCTTGTACACGCAAGCTTGCTTTTTATTTGTTGCGGAGAAACCCAATTCTCAAAGAAGAACAGGGAAACAAGGGATTGGATGGTTGGATTGTGCAACTTCAACACCAATTGGCGAAGAGGCTCGCTCCAAGTTCAAGGTAGCAATCCGACCACGATTGAGGTGATGACTCAATACAAGGCTCGCTCGTCGTGGGGAAACAATCCACACAACAAGGACAGCTTCTTTGAGCAAAACACTCAATGAACTAAGTTCTCGATTATTGACGTCCAACTATTACAATGGAGTTCTAGGCCTTTAAATAGACAAACTTAAACCTAAATCAACTAAAAAGCGAACAAGGAAAGACAATTAAACTATACTACAGCTAAGGTAACAATTCCCAAACTGAAAAGGACTTCCAACTCGTCTATAATCCTCTTTCTTCTAGCTTAAGTAAACTGCCTCCAAAACAGGGTCCATAGCATCTGTAAGCCCCTCGTTCACATCCCTCCAGGCCTCCATCTTCTTATCCAATTCCTTTCCTCTGTAGACAAAAATACTTAATTTCATGTAGTGCAAAGAACTTTCCTTGAATCGACTCCATCTGCTCGGAATAGAGCTCCAAAGTGACCTTCCTGAACCTGCCTCCAGACTTAGCCAAATTCTGGCAGTTCGCCAGTTTTGAGATAGCTACTTTGACGCCTTGAAACACAGCTTTAATGGCCTTGTATAAGCCCGAATCCCATGCCATATTAAAGAGGGATTTCTTATATTCAAACCAACACCTTAACCTCTCATTTATTCCAACCCAATCGGAAGATTCAAGCTCGCAAAGTAGGCTACCCGAACTCGTCATAACACTTAGCCAAAAACTCAGGTTGTGCAAATGAGTTGGCTTAACTTCTTGAACAAACAAATCGAGCTTGGAATGGAAGCAATTCAAGCTCATATCATTAACCATGCCCCTTGTTATGGTTAAACAGTGGGATGAGGCAAGGATACATTCATGAAACTCAACTTATTCCTTGCCAGAAGTCAATCCTGCATCTCAATTACCCACTCCTCGTAATTGCTTTTGATGTCAAGGGATCACCAACGTGTTGGGGAACTTATTGTAGAAGATAATAGATAAAATTGACATTAAAATTAAACGGCCAGGAATGCCACCAGAACCACTCTTCTGATCATCGCTCATAATGCGATACGTTTGATGGGGTCGTCAAACTCAGAAGATCACATGAAGGATCTTGCTACTTTGATACCATTAAAAAAACAAGAAACTAAAACACGAGACAATAATTTATATCATTTTCCCGGTTGATATTAACATAACTAGTCCACGGAAAGCGGCAGTTCTGAACTTAGGTTTTATCATCTGTATATCTCAAGGTTGCAGCAAATACAATGACATTAGATCATATATATACAATTTCGCTATGTATATTTTAGGTGTACATTTTAGGGGTCGTACTATCCATGTACTAGCAACTAGGGTTAACGTTATAAAACTGAACATTTAAGTCCAAAACAACGCGTATTAGGCAACATATATGATGTCACAGTTTGGTTTCACGTGTCATGGTTACATGTCACGGTCACAACCATGACATTCACCTTATTCCACTAGCTTCTCACAATGTCACGGTATGGCTTCCTATGCACAGCCACGAGTGTTTAGTCTTAACTGTGACTTTCAGTTCAGCTCGCCTAGTAAATTATGCACATACCAAAATGCCCACACAATAATCAAGCGCCAATTTACATTACAAGGAACTGATGAGGCAAGCCCTGACTCCTCGACTCGATCTTGATGTTTGACTGACGTTATACTACCATTTTGTATTTTTACCTTGGGTCTAAAATGTAAACCCATTCCAACAAATTGAATTGGCGATGTAGGTGTGGTTCATTTTATCTTGAAACTAAGGGTTGGAATCTCCTTTATATGAAAGGAAGTCCTAGAATCGACGACCATGCCTTCATGCAACAAGCTGTTGGAAAAACAAGAAACTTGTCCCCGCAGTATGTTCACGAATCCAGGATAGGCAAATAGCTCCCTGAAGAAATTCGTTAGCAAGCTATAGGTAGCATAATTCGATTCATGGAAGAGGTTTCTTCGTCGGAATATTAGCAGCCTTTCATGGAAAGCAACACACATTTTGAAACCCATTCCTTCCTTCCCATAGCCACAATCTCTTACTTTATCACAAAGCTTGGAACTATAGCTTCCCTCCACAGTACCCTTCCTCTTCCTCTTCTATTTGTATTACTGCACACCTATATATGCTGCATATTAAGGGCGTAATTGATATCTACTTCACCAAAGCTTCTCCCACATTTCCATTCCCAACCCACCTCGTCAGAAGAAGCCCATTTTTCCATCCAGGAGAAGAGCAAGAAAGAGAGTACTATTGCAATATGCCCAAGTACGCATCCGATTCCGATGACGAGGTGTCTGCCGTGCCTTCCAAGCTCTTCCGCCGGCAGAAGCCAATGCGTGCTCTTCTCGGAGGAGGCCGAGGTCTCCAAATTTCAGTTCACCCATGTTGATATATACCATGATACGTTTGCTTCGGTGAAGTTGACTGATTTTTATACGTTTGCTTTGGGGTTCATGCAGTTGCGGATGTATTGCTCTGGAGGGACAGGGCGGTCTCCGGTGCACTGATGGCCGGGATCTCGTTGGTATGGTTCCTGTTCGAGGTGGTGGACTACAATTTCGTGACGCTTTTGTGTCACATTTCCATCTCGGCAATGCTCGTTTTCTTCATTTGGTGCACTGGCGCTGATTTCTTCAACTGGTAATACGCCTACCCAACTCCACAGCTTATTAGATTGATAGATTCAATGACATTGAAACTTTGCGCCTTTCTATAATGATGCAATATACATAAACTGCTATATCATCAGGAAACCTCCACGGATCCCAGAAATTGTGCTGCACGAACATACCTTTAGAGAAGCTGCCACAGTCTTCCACAGAAGATTCAATCGAACGTTGGCCATTCTCCTTGACATCGCCTGCGGAAGAGATCCACGACTCTTCTTTCTGGTACGGGTTTCTAGCTAGCCATGGAATCATAAAAGCAACTAAGAACCGAATTTTTCTAGCAGTGGCCATGATCAGATTAGCTGCTGACTGATCGGTCTAATTTTCTGCGCAGGCAATTGTGTCTCTGTACATATTATCAGTGGTTGGCACCTATTTCAGCTTCCTGAATTTCCTTTATCTAGGTAAACCCATAACCCCGCCCGGAAATGCACCTTCCTGCAATGTCTTGTTCTAGAGTATATGTGGCTAATTGGTTTTACCTGCAACATGAATGAAGGGTACGTTGGACTGCAAACGCTTCCGTTTCTGTACGAGCGGTACGAGGCTGAGGTCGACTACTTTGCCGGAACCTTGATGAGAGACATCAGGAGGGCATACAGGAAGTTCGACTCCAGGGTTCTCAACAAGATACCAAGAGGCCCTGTCAAGGAAAAGAAGGCCCGGTAGATTAAAAACATTCCACTCTCTACTTGTATCATAATCACAAACACATACCCGTTTAAATACTTACAATTGCGCCATACCGCCTGTACATATTGGAATCGCAATCTACCCACATTGTTCGAGATCAACATCAAATATATTAGTTCATTTATCAAAAAGCATTAATTCCCAGAGTTCAGCTGCTGCATGACAATGACAAATTGATAATCCAATCATGATAACAATTACAAGCCAAACTAATCCAGAAAGGAAAGACTGAAACTTCAATAACATTCCTTTGGATAGCAAATTCATCACATGACTTGAAACCTAAATGCGTTGATGCCTAAACTAACCCAGAAAGGAAAAACTAAAACTTCAACAGCACTCCTTCGAAAAGCAAATTCATCACATGACTTGAGACCTAAATGGGTTGATGCCTATCCATACTCCTAACCTCTAATGCCGCTTCCATAAGGAACTTGAGACCTAGATGAGAGCTAGCTATACTAAGCATGGTTTTGGTCATTCTCATAGGAGCTGTCAACTGTTTGAGTAATCGGCCAATTTTGCATATCAAAGGAAATCTTCAGCAATATAGAGCAGTAATTTAAGCAACACAAAGTTCTGCATTGGCTGAGTCTGAAATTACAGCTTACACATTGCTTTGAAGCAAATGATAAAATCATGTGCATTGTTGAAACGAAAGGAGAATCTCCACCTAGACCACAGTGCAGAGACAGATCAGCTTATACCTGAAGCTGATCTTTTACATGCATCACATAATAGCAAACACAATCAGAAGAGGGACAAACAGAACTTCAGGCAATCGACATATCACAGAACATGGACTTGAGTTTCATATAGGGATCATTCAACATTAACTGCAATAGCACATTACTGAATCAAACCTCCAATGACTTCAGAATGCCACAGTAAATAAGGACTTCCCATAGAAATAACGCTGATTGTATCATTCAACCAGACCGAAATCAGTATCGCAACACATATTCCACCCTGGACCAGGACGATAGACACACATGGCGGCATTTTTCATTTTGCTAAATGTCTGTTACATAACAGTATCAAGCTCAACCTTGACGCTAACTACACTACCCATCTAGAATCGAAAAGAAACAGCATTCATTCAATTATCCTACGAAGCCCTTAATAATCTGCTGTCCTTCTTCTGGTTCAGTTCCTTGCCTGTGAGTACTACTCTAAATAGTACAGAATAAAAAATTTAATATTTTCCTTCATCAAGCATGCCATCACGATTTGGTCTTAACGGTGACTCCAAGCTCACCTGCAACAATAACAGCAGTCGCCATACCAATGAACATACCATGCTCAATGACTCCAGGAAGCCTGTGAATGGCATCGCTGGCAGCCCCTAAATCCCCAATATCGCTCTTGAAGAACAAGTTCACAATGTAATTGCCGTTATCAGTCACAAACGGCTCTCCGCCTTCCTCTCCGCAAAGGGTCCTCAATTTCGCCACACAGCCAGCGTATTCAAAAATCTTCCCCAGGCTGTCCTGCGTGAACTTGGAGCAAAAGGGCACGACCTCCACCGGCATCGCCCCGCTGGCTCCGACGTGGGGAACCCACTTCGATTCATCAACAATGACCACGAATTTCTTCGCGGCGCCCTCGATCATCTTCTCCCGAAGCAGAGACCCGCCACGGCCTTTGACCAGATTGAGATCTGGGTCGACCTCGTCGGCACCGTCGATAGCGAGGTCGAGGATGGGGTGAGATTCGAGATCCGAAAGCGGGATTCCGAGAGACGATGCTTGCTGGTGGGTCTGTTTGGACGTTGGGATGCCTATAACGTCCTTCAACTTACCTTGTTGGAGCAAATCAGCGATTCGGTCGACGGCGTGCTTGGCCGTGGAGCCGGTCCCGAGGCCGACGACCATGCCGGATTCGACGAATTCGACGGCCTTGTAGGCGGCGATTTTCTTGAGCTCGTCTTGGGAGAGGATTACAGGGGAAGGGGATAAGGAGGGTGCGGAAGCTGTGGATAGCTTCTCGGAGGCGATGAATGGAGCGCAAGGAATGGCCATGGCTGAAAAGCGGGAGAGAGGGGAAGGGGAAATTGAGAACGCAGGGAGACGAAAAATGCGGAGGTGGCGGCGGCGGATGGAGGTGAGGAGGCGAAGGAGGGAATGGCAAGAACTTAAGAAGGTCTAATAATGAGATGTGGAGCAACGCAGCCGCAGGGTTCTTTAGATTTTTCTAATATTAAAAATGTTTTTTTAAAGCTTCCCTGGATTTTGGTTTGGTGATGGAGTGGAAGAAAGAGAGTAGTAAAGGAGTGGTTCCCGCGGTTTGGAAAAATCAAAGAATTCAATCTTCAAGGTATATTTTTTTATAGTAAAAGCCAGCTTTTGAGATACGCAAAATTTTGGTACGCCAAAAAGATTCGCATAATTTTGTTGTAAGATTATTTAAAATGTCAGTACCAAGAATCTGGACAAAATTGGTAGCTTACATGATAAAAATGAGGATAGATTTTAGCAGCCTTTTGCTTTATGGTCTTCGAAGGAGTTGTCAAAACTAATAAATAGTTTTTTTTTTTTTACAAAGGATCACTTGTATTGCTTAACCAATAAATTCAGTTACAAAGATGGGATACAAAATGAGAAAACGAACTAGAAAAGAACAGCCTCATACATCGAGAGGAACACACACGAGGAAGAGAACAGAACAAAAGATAATGACATTCCATTCTTGATCCGCAACACAAAGTATCCGAAACACTCTTTGCATCCTCATTTATCAGAAAAACTCAAAACAAAGCTTCAGCTCATCCAATACAGAATTGACCATGATGATTGAACATTGCAACACCATATGCCGCCTCCTGGGAGTTGTTCGAAGACGACCCATCACAGTGAATCACCGAAGAGATTACATGGCGGTGGACAGGACTGTACCGGATTGGTCAGAGCTGAAACAAAGAAAGGGTGTCGGCGACGAATGGACACAAAACAGAGAACATCGTACACCAAGGGTTGAAAATGCCAACAAAGCCACAAGAAACAAAGGCCCACTAGCAAGAGCTTCCCCTGCAGAAACACAAAGCCAAAAAGAGACACCCAAAGAGAAGCAGAACCCACACCACCAACAACAACCCACACTACAAATCAACCCCAAGGTAGAACACAAATCTCAGAGAAACATGAACCATCCGCTTCGACATTCGGAAGAGACACCGCTACCCACAAAGACGATTGGCAACGATGCAAGGAACAAGCAAAGAGCCCAACGGCAGAGGCGGAACGGTGAACGCGATCACCCACGGGACGACCACACCAAGAATGGGGAAGTCTTCAAAAGCAAACCAATAGAAGCACCCCCCAACTTGCATCTTCCGTACCAAGAACAGAGGGACAAATCTAGAAAACTAGATCTGAACAAGACACAACATCTCCACTAGGGAGGACTGTGGGAGATGACCACTTAGGATCCGAGAGAAGCCACCAAGGGCTTGAAGAGCCATCGAGGGCAGGAAACAAAATAGATCTGCAAAGTCAACAAGGGCTGATAAATCAAAAAGGAACCCGGAAAAGCCAACGAAAATCGGAGAGCAAGGAACCACAAAAGAAATCCGGGGAGAAGAGAACGAACGGAAAGAGAAAAAAGAGAATTTGGGTCACCACCGATCACCAGAGTGGTGCCGGCGGCACCCCTATGAAGAGGACGATAGAGAAATAGAGAGAAGCTAGAGCGTTTGAAATAATAAATAGTTCAAGGAGTCGTTTGGATCAGGGAAATTGGGCAGGGATTTGACCCAATTTTCGGCCCGTCCAGGAATTTAACCAATATTCTTGTTTGGATAGTTCTTAAAACCGGCCAAAATTTGGGCTTCATGAATTGTCAAATCCGGCCCGTTGCGGAATTGAAATTAGCTGCCATCCCCAGGTATTTTAAAAATCGGCAGTAATTATTTTGTTCTTCCCAACGTGTCCCTGTTCTATTTTCGTTGTTTCCCACCAGCAGAGGACGACGACTTCTCGATTGGTAGCCAGGGACTCGACGGTCTGCATCTCGACTGGTATCAAGAACCCCTCCAGCTACTTCTCGACTAGTAGCGAGGGACTCGACGGCGGCGTCTCGACTGGTAGCAAGAATCCCTCCACCGTTGATTGCAATCCAAACCCTCAATTCCTCCGACTCCATATCCTAATCAACGCCGTTATTGTTTGGAATGTGTGAATGAGGATCTAGGCATCAAAGGATTAGCAGGTCATAGAATACGATGAAGAAGCTAAGCGTTGAAGATGGAGTTTCAATCAGTAGAGGTGCGATTTCGTAATGAAACCCTAAAACTCATCAGTGGCAGCCGCGACACCACCTCGCAGAAGGGCCCGGATACAATAACAACACCCTGGGTGTTGTTATAGTAACAACTGGGGTAAAAAGGGTAAACTACTAAAAAATAACAAATTAAAATTAATAAATAAATTTGCAATCCCCAGCTTCCCTATCTCCGTCTCTCGATCTCCTTCTCCTCCCATATCCCCGTCGGCAGCTTCTCTCCCGTACTCGCTCCTCCGCCACCGACAAAATCGGCTCCGACGGTAGCATGGATCACGTCAGGCATTCAGTCTGCGTTTAGGCCTCCACCGTCATATCATCTCAAATCTCCTAGCCTCCCTCCTCCACCTTCTTGAAGCCACTAAAGGATATTTTGGTGACAGAGCAAGATCTGAAATTTCAGATCGGAGTCGCGATGCGTCTGGCTGCAGCGATTGAAGCAACGTGGATTCTGCGTCGTTCAGCTTGCATTGAGGCCTGCAGTTAAGGGGTGAGGAAAAGGCCGTGTTGGAAGTACGCGGCAGAGATCAGGGACTCCACGAGGAACGACGATCGGGTGTGACTAAGCACGTTCGACAACCCCGAGGAAGCCGTCTTGGCATTCGCACTGCGCGGGAGTATGGCGGTGCTCAATTTCCCGCTGCCAGATCTGAGGCGAATCGCCAGCGGTCTCCGTGCGGCCGCCGACCAAGCAGTTGGGGAAAATAGGGTCTCGTAATTTTCCAAACCGACAATCGACCTTCAATCTCTCCGATGTTGTTCCCTTTTTGCATTTGTGCTTCACGAGCCGGTCGAAATCGGTGGAAAATTCCGTAGATCTCCGCCACCGCGGCCGCTGAAGAAGAAGAATGCGCCGCTTTTACTCCCCAACTTAAACACCTCTTCCACTTTTGTCCTCTTTCTCCCTCCCCTATTTCCTCGCTCTTTCCTATAAAATCAAATTGCACCTTTGATGCTCGAATTCCATACCTATTATCAAACTCATCTCTCAAATGTCAATTTGTTGGGACATTATGTCCTGTAAATAATATTTGTTCTACAAAAAACAAATAAAAAACCTTCTAGTGCATACCACAAATCTATTAAAACAAATCAGAAACTCCACAAATCAAACCATAAAATTTTCGAAAGCACACCATAAACGTCCTAATGCATACCAGAAACCTCGGAAAGTAAACCACAAAAAATTCGAAGGCACACCAGAAACACAATAAAGCAAACCAGAATCCTCCTAATGCATACCACAAATCTCCTAAAACAAACCACAAACCTCACAAAGCAAACCACAACATTTGCGAAAGCACACCAGAAACCTCCTAATGCAAACAAAAAACGTCCTAATGCAGACCACAAATATATTAAAACAAACCAGAAACATCGCAAAACAAACCACAACATTTGCGAAAGCACACCAGAAACCTCCTAATGCAAACCACAAACACAGTAAATCAAACCACAAAAAACCAAACCATAAACGTCCTAATGCATACCACAAATATATTAAAACAAACCAGAAACCTCACAATGCAAACCACAAAGTTTTTGAAAGCAAACCAGAAACTTCTAATGCAAACCACAAACACGATAAAGCAAACTAGAAACTTCTTAATGCAAACCACAAACACGATAAAGCAAACCACAAAAGGCATACAAAAATATGAGAAACCAAACCATAAATCTCACAATGCAGACCATAACATCCAGTGGTCGTTGGCCGTTGACCGGTCAACGAAGACCGTTGGCCGTTGACCGGTCAACGAAGACCGTTAGCCGTTGACCGGTCAACGAAGACCGTTGACCGGTCAACGAAAATTGTTGACCAAACGCCGATGACCGTCAGTGAGTAGATTCCGGCGCCGATAGGCATATTCCGGCCCCGATGACTAGATTCCGACGCCGGTGAGCATATTCCGGCGACGATGGCATATTCCGATGACAAAATAGCATATTCCGGCGACAAAAAAGCATATTCCGGTGACCGGCGACCAGATTCCGGCGACCAAAATTTTGGGCCGAAAAATAAAAAAATATTTTTTTTTATTTTTTATTATTTAAACATATTTTTCATAATGACAATTATACCCCTGCTTTGATTTTACACTAGGTCAACTCATCTAATAAAAAGTCATCACAACCCTAGCTTCCTATTGGTTGGAGACTAGTGTTGTTACAATAACAACACAAGGGGTGTTGTTACCGTAACTGGTCCCCCTCGCAGAAGAAGAAGAACTTCTTTGGATACTCCGTCGCCTGAAAAATTCAATTCACCCAAGTTAACAAGGTAATTGTTGGTTTTGAATTAGTCGAAAATCGATCGAATCAATTGAATTAGACTTAGTTCTGTTCACACACATAAGCCATCTCCAAGTGGGAGGGATCTTGCGCTCGGGCGGGGATTTGTTGGTGGTGTAGACGCGGCCCACGACATTAGTCCGGGAGGCCGCTCCGCCGAGGTAAGGTTTCACAACTTGGTCGAATTCAAGCGCTGGAGACGGGGAATCCCCTTAATAAGATTGCCCCTGTTTTGTTGAGAGACGATTCCAGATGCGACTTCTAAGATTCTATGGCTGAGTGAAATGTTTCTGGTTTGGGACTTGGATTTCCTGGAAAAAGTTGGCAATCTTATGATTCCCAGGTGAGTAGTTCCTTTTTTTTTGTATGTCTAGACGAGGGAAGTTCAGAGGATGCAACGGCGGGGGGAGACTCCGGTGAAGTCGACGGTAAGTGGCGGAGAAGAATCAGA